ACAGTTGGGTTCGTCAAGCCACTGCGTACTGTAGCGGTATCGTTTGAAGTCACTGAACGAACGATATTACTGATTTTCTCTGGGGGTAGTAAAAACACAACATTAGCATTCTAGCCCCTCTAAACCCCGCAGGAGACATACCGATATCCAAGACATTTCCACCGCGACTTGTGTCCAAGGCCAATGGCGCATTGCAGGTCGGGCAGTATTGTCCATCGCATTCCCGTAAAAATTCATAGAAACAGGCTTCGTGGGAGACATGGGAGCATGAGAGCTGCAGAACACGCTCGCCGCGTAAGGTATGCTCTAAGGGTTCCTCGCAGACGGCACATTCGCTCCCGACAAAGGTCCTCTCCCTCCGTGTGCGGGTACGATCTACCTCCATTGGGCCAGTGGTCCGTCCCGATCTTGAATTAAATGACACTCGTGAGTGACTTGAATGCGCAGATTGACCAGCGAGTTCTGGGTGGGCAGAATGAATGGATTCAGTGACAGTCGAGGGTGCTCTTGGCTGGGTGATATCGGCCTGGTTGGAAACACTGCTGCTAGGACGGTCTATTACACCTCGAGTGAATGAACGAAATGAACGTAGAGATGAACGAGAGGATGATTCTGGCTGCGGTTGAAATTCTGTACGTCACAGGTGTTAGCAACTCCCTTCCAGACTCATAGCAGAATGAGGCTATTTTGCAGAAGCTTTGCAAGGACTGAAAATGTAGAAGAGAGTAGGGGATAAAAAAACACCCCCAAGTAGTAACACTCAGGGGAGGGTGGTTTTAGTCCGACTTGTCCCATGAGGCATCTAGAACAGGCCACAATAGGTCTCAGATGTAGGACATTCCAAGACAGGAAATGCCATAGAAGAGAGAAACAGAACACACATACTTACTTTTCTTTTTGGATCGACCTAGGAAACCCAGCTCAGATAGATGATGATGAGTTGAGTTGTTCCCAGAGTTGTCCTCCGATCTAGGTGAACGTTTCCACATCGACTCAAAGGGAAACAAAGAGGTGGGGGAAAGGGAAGGGGAAAAAAAACAAGAAAGGAGAATGGCTCCAGAAAGTAATCAAAAATGGAAAAAAATAATAATAATAATAATTAGAAAAAATATATATATAATTAAACCCAGATATAGTAATTAAAATTCAGAATAAAAGGGAGAGAAAATAGAGAAAATAGAGAAAATATAAAGACTACGGAGTAGTGTGTATAGAGAAAGATGGAGACAGGGGTTTTCGGAGTACATATGTGCACATGTTTAGACAATGGGAACTAAAATAATGTTAAAGTACATATATTGTACTCCATACAACACATACCATAGTAAAGAAAAAAAGGGAAAAAAAAATACAATAGTTCCACTTGTCGACCATGGATATATAGTGGAGATCCCCTGAATATGATCATTTTAATCCGGAGAGTAGTGTTATATATAGTACTACCTCTTATTCTATATAACTACATACGCGGGCATGTTATAAGTACTTCATACACAGAATTAGGTAAATGGGATATATATAACAGTTATATACATACATACCCCGGGGCCTACCTCGGTACTTCCATGATGTGACATCGATATCCGATCGGCTTTACAATCTATTTGGATCTGATCCTGACGGATTTCTACTTTATATATGGAGTCATAAATTACATTAATTATTAACCTTTTTTAACTTATTAAACTCGGTATAAAAGCTCTTCGGATCTCCGTGACTCTTAAATCTAGTCTACACTCAATATTCCCTAAAATATCAACCTTGATAAAATTACTTCCGACGTAAAGAACAAGGAAAAAAATTAGAAATTTACCCTAGGAATATATATATATATAATGTGTGTGTGAGTGGTGATAACAAGGCTGGCTCGTGGATTTACTTCGGACTGGATTAACTCAATCTCCACCAACACCAATTACCTGCAAGTCACGGGGTCTCAAGCGGCTCATTTATCCAGCGTATACCCACTTTATATTGCCCAAGGACCACGCACTTGGAACAGTACTCCGTAAACCCTTCAAACGACATAGTTAACTTCCCCCTTGTCTCTCTGGGGAAGGTTAAAGCACCTTTTTTTTTTCTTTCTATTTTTCTTATATTTTTTCAAAAATCATTCAATGACGCATTTTTCTCTTCAGCTAGGGATTTACCCCAGAGCCCAAGTTTACCTTGTTGTCTGTGATCGACATCTGGATCACAAAATTTAGTTCTCTGCTTCATATGTCCTGAACGGAGCCTCTAGATGCACCTCCACAGTTTTGACGATCGCTCTTTCAACGGAGATTTTATGCCAGCAACATAGTAGACCCGGGGCAGCTCCCTGTCTCCTACCGTAATTGGGTCAACAAAAACTTGCCATAATTGGGCTCTTCGCTTGAACTCCTGATCTTTCCTCGCGTCTGCATTCGACCCTGGCGAATATATTATATTCGTACCACTCATTAGCACTTAACTATCTATCTTGATAATAGGAGAAATTTATTTGCACATCATTGATTCCAGTTCCCCGTTTATGGATCATACCGTTGCTAGAGTGGGTGCGAATGTCGTTTACGCTGTGATCGACATACTCCTGTTTTTTTTTTTTCCCCCCTGGTTTTTTCCCGGTGCTGCAGAGTGTCTGTGCTCACTTCAGCTACTCCATTGTCTCGGAATTCTAGTTTACTGGAAAAATAACCAATGAGTACTCCATATTGATTGTATCTTGACATAATATTGGCTAGTAAAGAGTACGTAAATGACGGTTGGAAATGCCTCCCCCTTTTGAGGGTTTTGATATTGGATCTATGGCGAACTATGTACACCCCTGGCCTGCACGTCAATCGTGCGTCGTCAATCGTGCGTCGGAGAATTACCATGCAGGCTAATCGAGACCACCAAGAATGGAGAGGATCAGAGTTGACTGGTAACAAATCCTTGGTGCTCGTCCCTGGAGCTGTCAAATCTCGACATATGGAGATACCAGTATGAAAGCCCTATTTGACAGCTCAGTGGCTACCTTGGCCTAGACTGTATAGCATATCTGGGTATTCTTCCGCGATTTTGAAATATTAAGTACTCCGTACTCCGTACGGAGCACAAACGGTCAAAATATACTTTGTATACTTTTGTACGACTGAAGCGCAAAGATCATTGATCATGGTTGAAAGTTCCCAAGGCGGAGATTACAATTTAAACACAGTCTAACTCGTTTTAGTGGGTTGATCCTTTCCCTCTCGATTCTGCAGTGGTAGAGAACATTATCCAGTGTTTCAGAGTGCGAACTAGCCCCTTATAAAGAATTGGCTTGCACCTTGAAAGTAACAAGATCACAATGATACCTACGATGTAGCATTCTCCTACTTTGCACATCCTAAGGTTAGAAATTCAACCCTTTAATCCTTTAATAGTTGAATGTACGGAGTAGTTGAGCGCATTTATGTATATGCATTTACATGCAAGTCTTATTGGCGGAGTTTATCCCGAGACCCAACATTCTCTAGCTGCATAGCAGATTCGAGACCTCGAAATCTCGATCAAAGTTCGGTAGATGAACTAGACTACAGCTCCAGCTTCATAACCCCCGAAAAGGATAGTGTGATGTACACACACCACGCAGATTGGCTATACAAGTAAATTGTTCAAATCCTGTGAAATATCATTTCCGACGTCCTCACACAAAGTAGGTACATAATGGTCTTACACTAGGACAACCCCTGAAACACCTCTGAAACAGTTCTGGTCTACCGCGAAACAAGCAGAAACATCCAAGCTAGATCCAGCCCGGGCCACTAGGAGTCTATGTTAACCGATCGCTACCGTCTCAACTGAGTCAACTCGTTGTTTTAAGTCTGTCATTTGTGAGGCTTAATGCCATAGTCATTAAAATAAAATGGTAATATCAGTTAATATAAGTTCTAAATACACTCGAATGCACGAACTGATGGAGACGTGGCGTCATTCGTCGGTCCTGATGGCTTATGCTCCGTACTCTGTCCCAGTCATAATAGGCTAATAGCTAGCATCTGGCGTTTTTAAGATCTATCACTTTTGTACTCCGTACATTCGCAGTGTAATTTTGGATATGTCTATCATCTACTACGTACATTGGTATTTCTGACACGTATTTAGTTATGATGAGTGCTGATTCGATATGCACGACGTATTTGTTTTTTTGTACAACGGCTTTCACCCACTGTGATGTGTCAAGTTCATATATTAGATGTTTTGGGTGTTTTAAGTGGCTCGGCTATAAACACACCCTATACAATACAAATTTCTATTGAGACCGTGTCTACGGAGTATTAGTTACCATAACAAAACAATAATACTTGAACTTGCATGATCCTTAGGAGTAGATTCTCTGGAATTATAGATGTGAAGCGTGTCTTCACTTAAGTCAATTGGAATCAGAATAATCCGCGTAGATGGTCTCATAGTCTAGCATATAGAAGGTGGCATTAACAAAATATTAGTGTTCCGACCAATGGGCTGGCCGAAAAACTTACATCTGCAATGTTACCTTACTTCCTTGTGGTAACCGGATAGTATAGTGGTATGCCGTGCAGTGGTGTTTTCTTGGAGAGCCACGAACTCGTCCAATATTGGATCTGTCGGAAACGAGCTAGTTCAAGCCACACTCAAGCATCATTTTTAAGTAATTGCTATTTTTGTGTGGCTAAACAGTGGACGTACAGGGCGAATAGGATCCATATCTACACTAGTTGAACAATACTCGAAACAATCATTTACGGGAAGCAATGCGATATGAAGGTATTAATTGTTCCGTCACTGCATAGTTATTGATCCCGAAGACAAGCTGGACTCAAGGCTTGTTCGGGCATCGTAGGTAGGCTTTCTCAAAGATTGGGGTTAAGATACATCATCGGTTTCAACCCCGAACAAAGAAACTTGGGCATAGAATCACACGTCTCAACCCATGGAAGGAAGACACCCATCACCAGGTTTCCTCGCATCTCCATGCATATCCAAGAGCCCAGTTCCTCAGTTCGTTTCCTGCATCAAAACATCCACATCATTCTCCGATACATCTCTACCTCGGGAACACCCGTGTATCGCACCATCAAGCGCATCGACTGCTCCACTTCCAATCTGACTATGCGGACTTCTTCGAGTCTGACCACAAAACGTAGTGCATCATCAATAGCAACCTGTTCTCCCAGTTTGATCAAGCCTTGGTAGTGAGCGCTGACTTTGTGGGCGTCGAATGAATGGAATTCGCGATCGTGATCAGCTGAGAGCACGCCGAAGACGCGAATAGTCACCTTGACGTCTGTGAAATCCTTGAAGATGTTGGCAAAGGTCGACGTATCACTAGTGATAGAGTCCCAGTGGGAAAAGACAAAGACGATTTCGCGGGCGTAGGTTCGTCCATACACGAGTATGTCGGTCAGGGACTGGACAGAGTCGCAATCAGGATCAAGAGCGGTGACAGATTTATGAATCAACGGGCAGTAGCAGTAGGGATGCTCCTCCAGCTTTCCATACTTTCTCTCAAACCACTCTTTGAGCTCTAGCAGGGCGGGACGAAGGTAGTACTTCAGCTGGCCGAGCTCGACGTACGTGGGAGTGGGGGCGCCACGAGCAACGAACACAATCAGAGGTTCCGTAACAGGGGCAGCGAGAGGGCCGGTGGGAGGACCCATCGGAAAGCTTGCTTCGGCAGTGGATTCCGCCATATCGAGGTTGGTGCTGCTTGGTGGTTTGTTAGATTTCTGTCTTTGAATAGAGGGGCATGGGGGCATAGGACAATGATACCTTGGTCACACCGGTTCAGATGCTGCAGAGAAGTTTGAAGAGGATGATGGAGGAGAAAAGCGAGTGTGTAAATAATGAAGCTTTATGGTCAACACACGATATCAGGGCAAACTGCACTTCCATTCGGAAGGTCAATAAAATCAATGAAGTCAATGAAGTCAATAATGTATCCTCTTGGGGTCTTATTCGCCCAGGATTGAAGACTCTGGGCTTATTCAAAAAGATCTTCAAGAAGTACATTTTGCCTTTTGAGTCTCTCAATAGTCATTTCTCTCAATAGTCCCAAGCTTGGGGTTAATTACCTTTTGATTTCTTTTTTTGAGTGCCGTGTTTCTACCTCACAGTCAAAAATAGACACACTTCGGACTTTGATATCTATGCAAGTCTGATTACATGAGACTCTGTTCTCATGACTGCCAAATGCAATTGTGCTCATTTACTAGGTTAGGTTGTTAGTTTGTTGTCCTAAGGTTTCCATATCCTACATACTATGTACTTAGCAGTATATTCTGCTTTACAAGACTATTGTTAACCTTATCACAAGCCAATTAAATGGCCTATAGGTATTGAATAAGCAATTTGAATATAGAAAATTGAATTAGTTCTCTTATCACTAAAGGATTGAAGTTGCTATATTATAGAGGCGCACCGAACCGTTGGGATCGGAGATCAAACCCCGACTAGAGTCCCAGGTAGGCACAACAGAAACGTCAGTTTTTAGCTGGCATATGTCATCTTTATACTTCCAACTTGCCAGATATAAGAATATATGAGCAAATATAGTAGTATTAATGTTCAAAAATGAAGTACGAAGTAGTTTCAAGGGTATCGGAACCGGCCTGACTTTCCTCACCGGGCGGCCCCGATCTGGAAGATGACTAAGACGACAAAATTGAAGAGAGTTGTTGGGACGGAAAAAGGTGCTTATCATCTTCAACGTACCATCTCCAATTCCCTCACAAAATGCTCTTCCGTACTGCGGTCCGCCAGGCTGCGCCTTTGAGGCGTCAAGCATTCACTCCTCTTGCCCGTCGCACTGTTACCACCGACGCCGCTTCCGCCAACGTCGAGAGCCCGGTGCCGCAGGTTTGTTGAGCCCTATCTGGAAAACTGAAAAACCTCGCTGAAAGGTTTCCGGAGATTCAATTGCTGATGCTTGTGCTTGCGCTATAATAGGAGGATGATAAGCTGTTCACTGTCCGTCTCTCCGATGAGAGCTTCGAGACTTATGAGCTCGACCCACCCCCGTACACTCTCGAGACCTCCAAGAAGGAGCTCAAGCAGATGTACTATGACATGGTCGCAATGAGGTACGATAATCACAAAAGCGGATGTTTCAACTAGCCGCTGACTGACTGCTTGTTCTTTTGCAGACGTATGGAGATGGCTGCTGATCGCCTGTACAAGGAGAAGAAGATCCGGGGTTTCTGCCATCTGTCAACCGGACAGGAGGCCGTCGCTGTCGGAATTGAACACGCCATCACCCGCATGGACAAGATTATTACCGCCTACCGTTGCCACGGTTTCGCTATGATGCGTGGTGGTACCGTCAAGTCCATCATTGGTGAGCTTCTCGGCCGTCGTGAGGGTATCGCGTACGGCAAGGGTGGTTCTATGCACATGTTCGCCGAGAACTTCTACGGTGGTAACGGTATCGTCGGTGCCCAGGTTCCCGTCGGCGCCGGTCTGGCCTTCGCCCAGCAGTACAACGAGCAGCCCAACACCTCCATCGTTCTATACGGCGATGGTGCCTCCAACCAGGGCCAGGTGTTCGAGGCCTTCAATATGGCCAAGCTGTGGAACCTGCCCGTTCTTTTCGGCTGTGAGAGTAAGTGGTTTATTCCAAGTCTTGATGGTCTCAAAAAACCAACCCCCCCCCCGCAGATGTACTAACGTTATGTTCCTCTAGACAACAAGTACGGTATGGGTACTTCCGCCTCGCGCTCCTCCGCTCTGACCGAGTACTACAAGCGTGGCCAGTACATTCCTGGTCTGAAGGTCAACGGCATGGATGTCCTGGCCACTAAGGCCGCCGTCCAGTACAGCAAGAACTACACCATCTCCGGCAACGGACCCCTCGTCCTAGAGTACGTTACCTACCGGTACGGTGGCCACTCCATGTCCGATCCCGGCACCACTTACCGCAGCCGCGAGGAGATCCAGCGCATGCGCAGCACCAACGATCCTATCGCTGGCCTCAAGCAGAAGATGCTCGAGTGGGGCGTCACTTCCGAGGAGGAGCTCAAGGGTCTCGACAAGACCGCCCGTGCTAACGTCGATGCGGAAGTCGCCGAGGCTGAGAAGATGCCCGTCCCTGATAACACTGCCCGCAACCTCTTTGAGGACATCTACGTCCGTGGCTCTGAGCCCAAGTGGATGCGTGGCCGTACCGTCGATGAGACTTTCTACTACTAGATTGTTTCGCCCTATAGGCACTTCTGTGCATCATGGAAGAGCTTTTAATTTTTGTGCGAAGGCTCGAGAAAACATTCTTGGGTCGTTCTATCATTTATCTGTAATTTAGCCCGATGACTATTTTCTCTTATGTTTGTTTACGTGTTTTCTGTTCTAGAGTAGAGAGCAATTGCCATCGGCTGGGTCCTTTTCAAGTTCAGGGCATCACATTTTAGGAAGTAGTCTTGCAATATCTTCATCAAGAATATCAAGAAAGTTGAAGACTGGGGTAGTAGTATCAATCCTCTTGACGATATGCAAGCACGTCCTTCGCAGTCAATAATGGGTATCATATCAGAAAGAAACAAAAAAAAGGAGTAAAAGTACAAGGAAGAATAGAAAGAAGCGATGAGACTCCGTCTGCATCAAGCAGGCTCCTGTCTCAACATCTCAAGGATCAGGTCCTGAGTCCGCTGCACAGCATCCAGCTTTTCTTCCATCGCAACACGTTCACGCTCCAGCTCACCTCGAAACTGGGCTTGCATCTCCTGCCGTAGCTCTTCCTTCATTTGCTCAATTTGAATATGAGTGAGACCTTGCGGTGGCTGTTGCTGCAACGCAGGCTGTACTTGCGGGTGCTGTGTTTTCCGGGGAGAAACCAGAACCTGTGATTCCGAGGCAGCTTGCACCAAAGCCGAGATCACGGGCGATGCGGTACTTGGGTCTATGCCACTCCCCGATGCGGCATCTAGGTGTTTGTTGAGTTTTCCTAGGGTTTCGAGGACCGCCGAGACCATACGGCCGTCGGGTTGTGGGACTGGTGGCGTAGGTATGGAGGGAAGGGGTGCGACTTGTGATGTGAGTTGCGGAGTTGAGAACATATTCTCGAATCCCGGTGGCAGTTTCAGTGAGTTGGTCGCAGAGACAGGGGTGGATGGTTGTTCGGGGAAATGTGTGGGTGGTGCACGGCCAGTAATTGAGGGCGAGGGTGAAGGGCTAGTAGCCAGGAGAGTAGTATCACCGACAGTGTTCGTGATAGTGTGGTGTATCATACCCATCATTGAGGCGTTAACATCAGTCGGGCTAGTGGCAGACGACCCAGGCAAGTTCTGCCATAGATCCTGATCTCCGTCTTTGGAATTCTGGCGCCAGGTATGCGGCTGCTTACGCTTCTTGAGCTCATCCCGCTTTGCAATACGTCGGTTCTCCGCTTCTTCCCATCGCTGCCAGGTCGGAAGCCAGGCATCGACGGCGGCGAGCCATTGTGGGTTCATCAATTCCTCGGCCGTTGAGCCAGGTGCGTTTGAGCCCCGCTGTCGCTGGTCCTCGAGGAACTTGATGCGCTGTCTCGTAACCAGTTCGACTTTACGCCGCACCGAGTGCCATGAGTATGAGCGGCCTTCATGGGTGCGCTTGAACTCGTCAGCGATGAATATCCACCACTTGCATAAATTACTGCGGCTGCCGAAGCTATCTGCGTTTTGGTTGCAGATCTCGAAGAGCGATACTTCTTCTTTGGTTGTGAGACGTCTATGCTGGCGTGAAGTGTCGCCATCGAGGTCATCGTCGCCATTGTGACTGCGCTTCGTGCCTCTGTTGGTGGTTGATCCCGACATTAGCCTTGATCCATCTCCTTTGCTAGTTCGAGCTATGCCCATCGGCATCGGCGCATAGTATAGATCGCTTTCGAGGATATCTCCTTCGCGTGAATCACTTCCGGTTAGGTTTGCCCCTCCAGGTATCTCTTCGCTGCTCTGTGACGTGCTATCAGTCGCCGTAGGTGGATTCCTCACTACCACGGACACGGACTGGGAAGCTGGGCTGAACCCTGAGCGCAGGCCTGATGGTATTGTTCCAAATAAATTTTGTAAAGGAGTGTGATACGAAGAACGGCTGTACTCGTGTGGTTGAATGCGCGTCATGAGAACAACAGCTTGCGTAGTAGCAATAGTAATAGCCGAGCAGCTGTTGTGGGAGACCAAAAGCCCAAGCTTGGTGGTCTATGGGATCCAGGAGGTGGTCTCCTTAGTTCAGAATAGCCACTCAGCCATCAATAAGGTGACAACAGTGTAGTAGATCAAATGCAAAATGTCCTTGTCGATCTGTGGGGATAAAGATAAAGCTGCGATGGATTTCACCAGAGGGTTTTCTATAAGGTCCGTGCGTCAAGCATATATTCCAGCCCTGGCTATAGTTATACAATCTTGTAGAGTATAAGAATGAGCTTCAATTGGACAATTTGAAGCATTGATGATGTCTTAGTTGTGTTTGATTCTATGTAATTGCTTAAATTATTTGTTTTTGGGGGTTTTGGTATTCATTCGCAACATACATGTTTATATATTCACGATGTATAAATTCAAGCCTCAATGACCTATAAGTCATGGCCCACGAGCTCTATCATGTCCATACAAATTTGTGTGAGGCCTGTGTATCATTTATTGAATTAAAATCTAGCAGTATATTAAGAACAGACTGTTCAGCATGATATCTACCCATCATAAGCGGGGGAAGCATCCAAATCTACTCGAAAGCAAAAAAAGATGACTACATAGGCAACATACAGCATGAAACAATAGCATCAATAATATATCCATTTTCAACACATCATGGCTATGGTGGTACAGGGGGTGGAGCTGACACAAAAAGCTCCAAAGACAAGTAAAACAGGAACCAACACCATGGTCAACATGATCCAGAAATATGCAGAAAGGGAGGAGGGGTAGCTAAGCGCCCAGTAATACATAGATGGGAAGTTTAGAGGAGGGAAAATAGTAGAGTAGTACAGACAAACGTGGGAGGGGCAAGATAGGCAGAGAAAGACAGGCCAATCATATCCTCTACCACCGTCTCCTCAGGTACCAACCATAAGCCGGAGTAGCAATGGACTCGCCGAAGGGAGTGGGCACCTCAGCGGAACCGGGGCGGGCCACGGGATGGCGCAGGTACACTGCTGCACATATGTTTTGGTTAACCTCGAGGTAGCGCGGGATGAAGGCAAAGGCAGACATGTATTGGCGTGGTTGCCAGGGGGTGGAGTATGTCTTCGAGTTGTCGAGAGGGTTGTCGCGCATTTGAGTAAGAGCACGTTTGAGCGTGTCGAACTCTTCGTCGCTGAGTTCCGAGGCATCGACCTCATTACCCAGTGTTGCCTGTGCAAAGGCATCGGAGAGCTTGTCGCTGGCTGTGACTTCTGTATCTGCTTTGGAGGAAGCCACTTCCGCATCTCTCTCGGCGTATGCGAAGGCGTCTTCTGGACGGGGCTTCACATCCTTCTTAACTGGCTTCTCGGCCCGCTTGGCTTTGAGCAGCAGGGTTAGCTGGGAAAATTGGGCCTCTAGGCTGTCTGCGAGGACGGTGCTGGACTCAGAGCGGGACAATACGCGGCGGACAGCTTGTTGGAAGCCGCGGAGCTCCTGCTTGCGCTGGGGCGCGAGTGTATTCTTGCCGGTAGACATGACAGACTTGGCCTGTGCCAGTAGCGCCTTGAGAGTCTCCTTGGTATCTTCCTTCTGAGTCTCCTTAGCATCTTCCTTTGCGGGCTCCTTTGACTCCGCCTCAACCTCTGATGCGGCCTCAACTTCGTCTGACTTATCTAGCTTAGCCCTTCTCCGACTTAATCGGCCCTGACGTCGCTCGAACGGAGTCTTCGTGTGACCAGTAGCGTACAAGACGCGATCTGGCTCGACCTGGAAGAGATCGCCAGGGTTAAGGAGGTAGCTGGGGTGTTTCATCTAAAACACAAAAGCGAGTTAGTAACCAAGGAATTGGTGGCTTTTCCATGTTGAATCATACCGTCTGCCCGTTAACAGTGACCGCTCCGTGAATGACGAATTGTCTCGCCTGTCTGGCACTGCTAGCAAACAGGGCCCGGAAGATAGCCACATCCAACCGGCGCTCCAGAGGCGCGAAGGTCATGTGCGTGTAAGGTGTAGGACGTGTCTGGTAAGCGGGCTTTCCATCCTGATCGAGTCCTGAGCCCCGACCAGACGATACTAGGGAACCGTCATCGGCAGCCAAGTCGGAGGCATTCATAGGGATAACGCTGCGGATGCGATGATTGAACATGCGTTTCCATTGTCCCTCACGGACTTGCTCGCCGTGATAGGCACGAGAGGCAGCTTTAGCAGACCATTTCTGCTGGAAGAATGTGCGATTGGTGGTGGGCGGGCTGCGGAATCGTTGCATGTTATACAGGTTGTATTTGCTCCATGATTGACGGATTTTCTGAACAGTGTCTTGTTAGTCTTTTGGAATTGTGGGAATCAAGCAAAGTTATAGAGACATACGCCTTTCGACAACGTGTTGCTAGCTCTGTTTCTCATTGTGGCGACTCTGTAGACACAATGCTGTAGCAAATGATCTGTTACCCAGAGTCCGAATTGACCGAGTCTCAAAACTTCAGGGCACGTGACTGAAATGGCTTGATGCCTTAACTATAGGGAAAACATTGCGCTAGTCTGCGGCATGCAATGTTTGCCTTGTTTGTATATTATGTAAGGGTATAACTTATCCGTGATTGGTCAATATAATCTCGCTTAATCTACCGCCTTGTCCTAATTCTGCCACCGCCCTATAGAACGCGTATATATAGCTCCCTCTCCCCCGGCTCTTCGTCTCTTTTTCTTTTCTTCTTCATACTTACCTTGTTTGGGTGACTGCGATCAACAAGGCGGTTCACCACAGGCTGGTCCCTGCATTGCACAGCGCGGCGGAACAGTCTGTTCAATGGCTTTCGGGTCATTGACAGGCGTATTCTTTGGCACCTCCATCCGTGGAACAATTTCTTTTCATCAATTCTCGAGCCAGTGGCACGAGGTTGGAGAAGAGCGTTGGAGGAGAGCGAAGTCGACCCCTTTTTTAAAATCGGCATAGGCACGCATTGCACCTTTGGTTACTCTGTAGACATATCTTATCTGGTTCCTTTTAAATGAAGTCTAATGAAAGTCCCGTCCATCTCTGTGTTCGAAGGTGTTCCCGTTCTTCTTCACCCTATCTCGAAACTTCTGGGAGACCCCTGCGCACGCTCGGAATATGCCTCACACCTCGTGGTGCCCACAATGTTTCCAGCCCCTACCTATCCTCAATAATAGACATACATGACAGCTCTCTCTAACGTATTTCACAAGCGAGCCGCCCACACAAGCGAGCCGCCCACCTATCCCAACCCATTAATTTTAAATGCATTTATCTCAACCAAAACGCCATTAAATTAATTGCACTGACTAATTGGTCTATCTGGACATGTTTCTCTTCTATGCCCTGGCAATCTGCATATTCCACACCCCCGGGGGGCCGTGTACGTGGCTGAATAGCCGATTCTCCAGGTATACTGGGACCCGGAGGAGGTGCTTCACCTGCTTCCTGTTGCTGTATAATTAATACAGAGGCTTCTTCAACTGAAAGGCCTTCTTCAGCAGGTATCTGCCTCCGGGATCGAGTACGCTTTTGCTTCTGCTTCTCGTTGGCGGCACGTAAATCGCTTACTTCTTTCTCGAGAAAAGCAGCAGACTGCATAGTGATTTGACAGGCTTTTAAAACCTGATTTATCGCGCAATTTAGCGGACTCGGAGGGCTCCTCGATCTAGTACGAAGCAAAGCTTTAATTGACGAAGCTTGCTTTTGTAATTGCACGTAATTCGAGGGCGTTTTTGGGTCCCAATCGCTCCCCCTACTTGGAGGGGGGGTAGGAGTTCGAAGACGAATATCAAGCTTCGAGATCACTCGATTAGGTGCAAAAGGTACTAGACCAGCTGCTCCGAAGCTATTCTTGATAGTCTCTAGTTTAAAAGCTTCAATCCGTGCGAGGGGGTATGCTTCGAGGAAGTCAAGTTTGTCGATATAGTTGATTCCATTTCTCATTTTTGTCTCCACTAGCCGACCATATGATCGTTTTAACACAGCAAAACAGCCAATATCGAGAGGCTGTAAAAGGTGAGAGGAGTGCGGAGGCATACAAATTGGTATAACCTTATTTTGCTCGCAAATTTCATCGAATTTAGGGGTTAAATGGCTTCTATGTCCGTCAAGAACTAGAAGCCTATAACCCCCCTTCGTACGTAGAGAAGTGCTAGGAATAAAGAGCTTTTCAAGCCAGCGAACTCCTATTTCATCTGAAGTCCAACCATTAGGACTAACTTCAATTCGCCAGTCGTTTGGTAGGCCTTCGAACCATGATTCCAAGTAGACTTTGCCTTTGAAAATGATACACGGTGGGAGGGCCCAACCCGATGAATTTGTACACTCAATAGTAGTCACCCACTCGCGATTTCCAGGTTGTAAAAGCGAGCGCCGACCGTAGAATTCGCTCCTCGTGATCACCTTCGCTGTGGAAATTAACCCCATCGCGAAACCAGTCTCGTCGAAGTTATAAACGTCATCGGGGTCGATCCCAAATTGAAGGATAGTTTTTTGAACGAGATCAAACCATTCACAAATGATTTTTGGGTCTTCACACTTCGCACGTTCGTAATTATAGCGTCTCGAGAATCGGGAGGAGAGATCAGGGTATCGTTTTATAAAATTCGTAACCCAGTTTTCGCCGACCGAAAGAGCTGGGGTTATTCCACGTTGTTGAAGTAAAAGATTCGCTATTTCTCGTACAGTAGCAGGGCGGGGAGCTGCTCCACGAGAATCCATAGAGAGAATCCATTTTCGAAGAGATTCCTCTTCTATTTCTGTCAATTTATGGGAATTTGCGCGTGTAGTGCTTCGTTCAGTGTGGCCGGAGAGGCGATCGCGTAAAGTTGTACGCGGTATATTAAAAACGCGCGCCACTTCACGAATTGAAGAGATTTCTTTATTCTTAAAAGCCTGAATAGCTAAAAGAATCCTACCCTCTTGCTCAATTGAATTCCGAGAGCTTTGAGAGCGAGTTGGTGGCATAGTGGGTGGTTGAATTGACTAAGTGCGAATCCCGAGA